ATATATATATGCTGACCACAAGGAAAAAACAGAAGTTCCCAAAGCCTTTCATGTAATTCACATCTTCAGGGGTGAGTAGACTAGGAGGGTTTAGAACACCTAGAAAATAAGGAGTCTGCAATAGGCCGGTTGGCCTGTGCATGGCAGCTCCTGTCGAGAGCTACTACCACTCTCTATCATCCATGAATCTATCTAGCCTCCTTTTGAAACTTTCCAGAGTTCCCGCACTTACTACAAAGTTGCTAAGCTTGTTCCACTCGTCCACCACCCTATTTGTGAACCAGTTTCTTCCTATCTCCCTCCCAAACCTAAACTTATCCAACTTGAATCCGTTGCTCCAGGTCTATCCTGCTCCAGATGTGCAGAACTTTATCTATATCCCGCTTTATTGATTCCTTTCACCCACTTAAATACTTCTATCATATCTCCCCGCACTCTTCGTCTTTCTAGGGAATGCAAGTTAAGTTTCTTTAACCTATCCTGATATGGAAGGTTTCTAAGTCCCGGAATCATTTTTGTCATTCTTCGCTGCACCGACTCTAGTGAATTTATATCCGTTCTATAATAGGGGCACCAGAACTGAACCGCATAATCGAGGTGCGGCCTGATTAGCGCAAGATATAGTTGCAATAAGACCTCTGCACTCTTGTTACTTACACTTCTAGATATAAAACCCAATACTCTGTTTGCCTTATTTCGAACATTAACTCACTGTTTTCTAGGCCGTAGGTCCGGGCTTACAAGTACCCCTAGGTCTCTTTCACAAGTCGACTTCTCTAGGTTGATGTTGTTAAGGCTGTATACATTGTAAGTATTTGTTCTTCCAATATTAAGTACGCTGCACTTGCTGGTGTTGAATTTCATTTGCCATTTTTCAGACCACCCCTGCAGTTTATTTAGGTCCTCCTGTAATGCATTTGCATCCTGCCCTGAATTAATTTGCCGCCCTATTTTGGTGTCATCCGCAAACTTGCTTATGTCACTGCTGATCCCAGTATCTAGATCGTGTATGTAGATTATGAACAAGAGTGGGCCTAGTACTGACCCCTGGGGAACCCCACTGGTTACACGGCCCCACTCAGATTTAACACCATCTACGCTGACCCTCTGCGTTCTATCGGTGAGCCATGATTTTATCCAATTTAAAACTTTCCCCTCGATACCATGAGCCTTAATTTTTTTTTAGAAGCCTCTGATGCGGTACTCTGTCAAATGCTTTGCTAAAGTCTAAATAAATAACATCGTAATTTTCGTCATTATCTACTACCTCGAAGACTTTCCTAAAAAACGTTAGCAGATTTGTTAGACAAGATTTTTCCTTTGTAAACCCATGTTGAGAGTCGTAGATTAATTTGCTTTTCTCTAGATGCGATCGTATGCTATCTGCTATAATTGATTCAAGTATTTCCCCACTACTGACGTCAAGCTGATCGGCCGGTAATTTTGGCCCGCTGATGCTCTGTCTCCCTTTTTTGAATATGGGTACTACATTTGCCTGTTTCCACAAGTCTGGCACAACTCCAGTGTCTAATGATTTTGTAAATAAGTTTACGAGGGGTCCGCTAATCTGTTCCCTACACTCTTTCAAGACTCGAGGGAAAATTTCATCCGGCCCTGGGGATTTTGTTTTCTTTAGTTTATTTATCTTCTTAAGAACATCCTCTTTTCTGATAGTGATATTCTTTAATTTCTCTTCTTCCTTTCCCTTAAATATCAGTTCCACCTCTGGAATTTCATCTCAAATTTCTTCTGTGAAAACTGATAAGAAGTAGCTGTTCAATGCTTTGCTTATTTCTTCACTGCCATTTATCACTTCTCCCCTCCCTGACTTTAAAGGCCCAACTTTGTCCTTGACCTTTGTCCTATATACCTGGAAAAATCCCTTGGGATTCGCCTTGGATTCTCTTGCTATTTTGATTTCATAGTCTCTCTTTGCTTTCCTTACATTTTTCTTAACATTCCTAGATAGTTCATTATACCTGTTTCTGAGCTGCTCCTCCCCTCCCTTTAATTTCTTATATATTCCTTTCTTTATTCCTATGTCATGTTTAAGTTTTCTGGTCATCCACTTTGGCTCATTCTTATTTGACCTAATTTTTCTGTATGGTATATATATACAGAGGAGGGTGAGATCAAGTCCACAGTGGTCAGGTATAGGTAATGACCCTACTAAGAACTTTATATACCCTAGATCTTTCATAGACAAATGCCTGAACATTACTAAGAAATCTTTTTATAGAACTGATCCCAAGCCCACCCATAACCATAAGAATCTCTTAGTATTACCATTTCACAAAAATTTCTCTCAAATTCCTTTACAACTAAAAGCCTGGAACGTCAATGTGGCATTTAAAAACTCATGCACTGTTAAACAAATGTTAATCAAGAACTCCCCCCAACAATACAGGTGGCTGCATTTATAAGGTTCCTTGCAAGGAATGTAATATGTTTTACTTAGGCCAGACAGGTAAAGATCTTGTAACTAGACTTAAACAACATAAATATAGTGTTAGGACAGGCCAGGAATCCAATGCTCTGTTTGTTCATTTGAGGGATAATAAGCATTGCATTGACTGGGATAATGCCTCCTCAATATTACCTTGTAATTCAATTGACAGTAGGAACATTATAGAATCTAGTCTCTTTAAACATACCGAATCCGTCAACATGAATTTGAGTAATGGTATGTACAAATTGGATAATTTCGTAATTAAGAAGATTTGTAACCAGGTGAGAAGGTTGGGGTCAGCTTACCCTCTGACCTGACTACCTACCGCTGCAGTGCTTTTGTGAAGATTAGTAGGGTCATTACCTATACCTGACCACTGTGGACTTGATCTCACCCTCCTCTGTATATATATATACCCTGTTTTTGTACTTCTTCTTAGTCTGTACTCACCCCTGAAGATGTGAATTACACGAAAGCGCTTGGGAACTTCGTGTTTTCTTTTTCCTTGTGGTTATCAGCATATACCTGGATCACGCGCACCTATAGTGATTTACTTGCATATATATATATATATATATATATATATATATATATATATATATATATATATATATATATATATATATATATATATATATATATATATATATATATATATATATATATTTCATGTTGCCTCTGAAGATGTCTTGAATAAAGACGAAAGCTAAGGTGCTCCGTTGTTTCCCTTTTCCCGTGTGATTTTATCAAGATTTATCAAGATATATAGATATATATTTCTTTGTGTATGAACCTCTGTCCTGCGTGGCAGTGAGAAGTGATACCACCCTCAGTGTCAAGACCGGACTGAATTACTCAGAATAGGGAAACTGTACTCCTAGCTTTGGCAATAAATTTGTTCAACTAAAACTCCTCCACACCAGTTGGTCTTTCGTGAGTCTCTCTCCGAATTTACTTCACGGTTTGGCTGCTAAAAGGTCAAATGTGAGAATTCGAATCACTATAATATCTTGCCATACATCCATTTGATTGCGTAAATACTTCGTAAACATTTCCGGTGCGACCCAAATTTTCTGTCAGTTGGAATTACCTGTACCATTCACACAATTTAATTCTAGGTTAAAACTTCCTTTTAGGTAATTACATAAAAATAGTGTTAGTTCATATTGTAGCATACACTGATCCCTTAAATTTTATGGTTTGCTCGATTAGGGACCAAAAGTGAACACATACAAAACGTTAAATGCTGCTTTAAATTCAGTCTATCGTGTTCAAACTGGAAATTCGTAAACATGATTTGATTTTCTACATATAATATTGGTTATTTACTTTTCCTCGTGTTTTTTATTTTTTTTATTATGTTTTTGTATCAGTTGAACAGCAGTTTTACTCTTTGGGTCTCGTTTTCCTTGAGCTGAAGATCTCTCAGAGTCCACACTGTGGTACTGTAGATAATGAAGGCCAGCCAATACCTATACTGTACCTTGAAACTCACCTACTACCACCTCTTCTTTTCTCTTATTCTTCTTCAACTCCTCCTTCCTTCTCCTTCATCACCTCTTCCATTCCCTAGATGCTGTCAAGTCAACTTGGTAGGAATTACCTGGTAGGCAGCTATCAAACAGGGAGGTACTACCGCCTGGGAAGATATTGGAAGCATAATGTGATGCCCAATGGTAGACCCTGCTGCCGTATGGCATCACAAAAATTGTGACAAAGTCCCAGGTTGGTGATCTGACTTTCTGCCTCATTTACACAAATTTTCAGGGTCTCAATTGTTTCTCGTATTATTGACAACACAACATTTATATATCGTTTCTCACTTTTGATCTTTTTTCATTTTGTATTTCTTTATGGTTCTTTATTATTATCATTATTATTATTAGTGTTGTTAGTGTTATTATTATTTTCATTCTTATTTTTAATTATAAATTTGATTTACTATGAAATTATTGTTATTACTATTATTATTATTATTACATTTTCGGCCCCCATGCCCCGATGTGGGTCAGTGACCTGTGCCTATTCGCCTGATCGTCGGCTAAATAAGAATGACGCTATTGCTTATTCGCCCAACCGTCGGTAAGGTAAGGATGGTAGTATTGCTTTCTCGCCAGGCTCTCCACAGTTAGGCTTCATATTTCACATATAATGACAGGTATTTATTACGTTACTTCATATTTCGTTTTATACCTAGCATGTCTGTAAATATATCGAGCGATAATTTATATATTATCTAAATTTTTTATATAGATACAATCCTGTAGATAACAACAAATCTATACGTGAGTAATATTAGTAGTTAAAACTTAACCTAAACAACGCTATAAAAGAAACAGACCAAGTTTTAACATATATGAATTCATTCCGATTTTGTTACAGCACAAATAAATTAGCTCTTTTAAGATAAGACGTCCATTGGTCTTTAAGGCTTTATCGGACGTTTATCTCTATTAAGCAAGGCACACAACCACACACAATATATGAGAGAGAGAGAGAAATAATATTTACTTGTCCATATCACTTTATATACTCAGTTTTATTCTTTCAGAACAAATTATAAAATTTCGGAGATGGACGAGGGAGGGAAGATGAAAGAAGCGATCACCGAGGTGAAGGAAGATCCACAGGAGTTGAAAGAAAGGAAGGAAGTGGTCCAGGAGGAGAAAGAAGGGAAGGAAGTGGTCCAGGGGGAGAAAGATGGGAAGGAAGGAGACCTCTCGTGGGTCAACACCTTCGAGGACCTGTTGGAGGTAGTGGGCACCAACGGCCGCTGGAATATCCTCATGTTCATCATGTGTGTCACCTGTGAGTGTCCATCTGAGTCACTCTCTGAGTCACTTCTTGGTTTAATAACTAAATTAAACAGCCACTGACTCATAAGATTTAGTCAGTTACTAACTGCCTGGTTTACTAAGGCAGTACGGTTCAGATGTTAAATCAGAACATTTCTTAAATCTAGTAAGATTTTTCTACGCTACAATAAAAATAAACATGTTAAGATGAGCGAAGGAATGAAACTAAAAAGATCACAAGACGATTAAACACCGAGGCTTATATGAGTTATATCACCTTATGATTAAAGAGCCTAACCTTATATTAGTTTATCATTAGGGTGGTTAATCCTTAGGCGAAATATGCTGGGGTGTTAATATTCATGTGATACAACTACAGTAAACACACGGGTACTGGGAGTATAGGTCGAGTGTCTTCCTCTTAACAGCGGTGGCGATATCGCCGCTACAAACTTTGTCCTACCAGTTCCTCGGGGCGACACCTGACTACTGGTGCCACATCGCCCCCCTGGTAGAGGCCAACTGGACGGACCAACAGATACTCTCCCTCGCCATTCCTTACAGGTTAGTCCTCGTTCTTATTACTAGTAAGGAAAGAAGGAAGCTCTTCCCTTCACTATCATAATCCTCCACACGTCTTCTGTGAAACTGTCTAACTGAGCAAATTTGATAATGTATGAACAAATTTCCTTTAAGTTATCGTAATAAGTAACTCAAAGTCCTTCTTAAGGAGGAGATTTGGGCCTTTATGACACCTAATTTTTTTTAAAAAACAAGAGTCTGCCCTTGCCAAGAAAAAGAAAACGAATGCGCTCACAGATCATTCCGTTTTGTTTTTTATCATGGCAAGGAGATACCCTGCCACAAGATCAGTTCTTACCCACAGACAATGTTTATAAGCCTCGCCCACAGCAACTGTTTAAATTTACACAAGTAAACATGTTATCATCCGGGTATTTGGTTGCAGCAACTCTACGGGGAAGTATGAAGGATGCCAGATGCGCAACTACAACTACACGGCTGCGGCGCTGCTGGGATACAAAGCCACCATGAAGGACCCTTCCGTCGTACAGCATGGGAACACCACCAGCATCATCAAATGCTCAGCCAGAGACTTTAACCACTCCCAGTACTCCTCCACCGTCGTCACTGAGGTTAGCTTTGGGTGAATAACACGTAATCCTACAATAAGAAATCCCTGTTATCCCCACGACAAGACGATCAAATTGCCGGACACTTCAACAGGCTAGGATCCGTGTTGCCACATACAAGTTTGTTTGAGAAAGACAATAAGATGTTGCTCTAACTCCCAAAACAACACAAAACTTTACCTCTTGGAAAATTCAAGACATACATACGCTATGGCTATACATAAAACACATTAACTATCGTCCAGAAGCCTCCATAATGTTTATCTTTTGTTTTTAGAAAACTCCTTAATTTTTCAGCATTAATCTGAGTTTACAAAGATATACTTTATGCATAAGCTTGGTATACTGTGACAGCTAAGAGAGATTAGCGGCTGAGTAAGGTCACAGTTAGATCGAAACTTAATTCTACAAATCTACATTTTTCAAGCTGTTCCTACTGTATAACTATAAGAGGTTAATAGCCAGAGGAGCGTACTATTTATAGCAGGCAACCAAACATAGAGACGCGCCTCACCGTATTCGTCTCTGTAATATGGTTCTCGACCAACTTCCCTATATTTCTCTGGCAGTTGATAAGTATAATCCTGTGGAAATTCAGTTTTAAGCTGGCAGTAGTTAAACAGAATCACAGTTTATGTTAGGATGGCTGGAAGCTTCGGGTAATCGGTTTTATTGTCACTTATAGCGGGTAATCAAGTTTGTTTATCTACCAAGCGCATTCACTGAGCACCTCGCCACATCCTTCGTGTGAAAATATCAACGGATTTTCTTGAAACTTACAGAGACATCACTGCCCCTATACACTCAGATAAAATTAATGAATAGGTATTATTCTAACAAGGGGTTCAACGCTGTTTTTCTTGTTTGAGGGATTAACTTTCCGCACCTTAAGTATTGGGTGCCTTTATTGAACACTGTCAGGAATATATTCAAATTTGTGTGCTGTGTACTATCGTTAAGTATGTAATGATTGTTTATCAGACCACAGCTTTCAGCCCAGAGAATTACAACACATATAACAGCGAGCACAGTACATGCCTCCTAGTACCCTCACATACCAAGTTGACACACCCTGGGTCAGGACCCAAGTGACCTGACCCCTGCCACTAAGTACTTGACCAATGGACATGACCTACAACCACACCTTGGTGGAGGTCATTCGCCGGCTGGGTCTCCCCCATATAAAGGGCCTGCAGTTTGGCTACGGCCGTATTCTCTTCCGACTCATCTCTCTCTCATTCGGGTCGTCACTCTGTTCACTCACGCAGAGTCACGCTCGTCCTTCCCCCAGGTCGGGAGGGACACCTCCCGACCAGACCCCGGCGTCACCAGCTAAGCAGAGTCTCCCATAGGAGACAGTCCAGCAGCACCCACTGGGCCTCCGTCAGGTCACACGTGAGTCTTTGTCTGAGCTAGTCACAGGGTGAGTTACCTACTGTGGGAAGTGTATTCACTTCATGTTTGTGTCCGAGAGTCAGTGTAGTAACGTATATATAATGTTCTAGTAACTTCGATATACTATTGATATTAATGTGTCATTGAGTGAATTAATAAATAGTTGTATTGAAGTGGTGTTTGAGATGTTGTCCCTTAAGAACGTAAGATAAGTGTAAATAACTACCCGGCCACGCTACCAAACCTCCTCTCTTTACATTCCTCCTACTATGAATATTCTACCTATATGTAATATCTTCTATACGAGTTCTGTCTCATTATAAGTAGATATTTCATTTTAAGTATCGACTTTATTTTAGGTATTTACATCATTTTAAGCATTGACTTTAATTTTGGCAATGAAAATAATTCATATATTCAGTTCACTTCAGGTATTAATTTAATTTCATGCATAGGAATTATGTTAATTGTTGACTTCACTTTAGGTATGGGCAGTTTTAAGTACTGACTTTATTTTAGGTAAGCGCATTTTTGGTATTGGCAAGTTTAGGTTATCTCACTGTAGTGGGTTTTTAGCTACCCTATTTGAACTTATTCCTATTTAGGTTATTAACATGAACTAAAGCTGTATTTGACAGATTACACAGTAAAGGCAAGGGCGAATAGGGAGACATTTACCTTTATAAATATACCCAGCTAGAGACAAGCGAGTAATTATCAACAAAACTTATTCTTCTTTGAAGGTTTAATTTCATTCTTTCCATTCGTGTGTATCTTTCTTTGGCCGGGCGTGGGTGCAACAGTGGGACCTGGTGTGCGAGCGTCGGGTGCTCTACTCTACCACCCAGGCCGTGATGGAGGGAGGCAAGATCGTCGCCTATCCTATCTTTGGCTACCTTATTGATGCGTAAGTGTTGGCAGTTCTATAGGTGAGTGTTCGCAGCTCTGGAACTCACTGTTGATAGTTCTGTTAGTCAGTGTTGGCATCTATGTAAATAAGTGTTGGAAGTTCTATTAGTCAGTGTTGGCAGCCCTTTACCTCACTGTTGATAGTTCAGGTAGTCAGTGTTGCATAAATGTGCTTTGTATTTATATATCTATGTCTATGTCTATATCTATAATATCTATGGGCCATGCTTTTTCCCCTCTTCATAATGTGGGGATTTTCCTGTTATTGTCTCAGCCTTCAGACCATGTGGCGCCCCAGATAGGGTGCGGTCAGTATTTCATCATACATAGACGATCTAGATACTGGGATCAGCAGTGACATAAGCAAGTTTGCGGATGACACCAAAATAGGGCGGCAGATTAATTCAGGGCAGGATGCAAATGCATTACAGGAGGATCTAAATAAACTGCAGGGGTGGTCTGAAAAATGGTAAATGAAATTCAACACCAGCAAGTGCAGCGTACTTAATATTGGAAGAACAAATACTGGTAATGTATACAGCCTTAACAACATGAACCTAGAGAAGTCGACTTGTGAAAGAGACCTAGGGGTACTTGTAGGCCCGGACCTACGGCCTAGAGAACAGTGCGTTAATGTTCGAAATAAGGCAAACAGAGTATTGGGTATTATATCTAGAAGTGTAAATAACAAGAGTGCAGAGGTCTTATTGCAACTATATCTTGCGCTAGTCAGGCCGCACCTCGATTATGCGGTTCAGTTCTGGTGCCCTTATTATAGAATGGATATCAATTCACTGGAGTCGGTGCAGCGAAGAATGACAAAAATGATTCCGGGACTTAGAAACCTTCCAAATCAGGATAGGTTAAAGAAACTTAACTTGCTTTCCCTAGAAAGACGAAGAGTGCGGGGAGATATGATAGAAGTATTTAAGTGGGTGAAAGGAATCAATAAAGGGGATATAGATAAAGTTCTTATAATATCCGAGCAGGATAGGACTCGGAGCAACGGATTTAAGCTGGATAAGTTTAGGTGTAGGAGGGAGATAGGAAGAAACTGGTTCACAAATAGGGTGGTGGGCGAGTGGAACAAGCTTAGCAGCTTTGTAGTAATGCTGGAACTCTGGAAAGTTTCAAAAGGAGGCTATATAGATTCATGGATGATAGAGAGTGGTAGTAACTGTCGACAGGAGCTGCCATGCATAGGCCAACCAGTCTATTGCAGACTCCTTATTTTCTTATGTTCTTATGTTCTAGGAAATGAGTGTGGTCATGACCCAACCAAGGAAATAGGTAAGGCTGCTTGAGTTGTCAGGATGCCAGTTGGTGCTTCTGTTTTCATTGTTATAACATTTAATTTAGCTCATATTTAATTAACATTGTGTTCTCATAAATATTCCCAACCTTCTCCCATTAAAAAACTTGCCTCAAACCTTATTGTAGTTAATGTAAGGCTGTGAACCAAATATCGTTTATCTGGGTACAGCCCAACATATACACCAATGAGCGGATCTTACTGAGCCGGCCTGGGTCAGGACACCCACCATGTGGCCTAAAAGAACCCTTAAAACTGTAATTAGGATATAACTTATTGATGAGTTTGACGCAAGTAGACTAGTGCAAACAGGCACTAGTCGATCCATAGTTTACCATGATAAGATGTATCAAGTGAAACATATATATGGAGCAAGTAACAAGATCACTAGATTACAAGATGTAACCGCTAGATTAAGGTTAGGATATAAGTACCTCTGGCAGTATGTTCCTCAAGCAGATGTAAACAAGACTAAATGTAAAGTGTGTGGCCAGACATCTGGCCACACACTTGAACACTACGTCCTCGACTGTGTGAAGATAGAACCTTTTAGGGACAGGTCCAAGCACACTGTGTGTGAAATGGCACAACACTTCATCTCTAATGGCAAGATAGCCGACATATTAAGATTGTATCCACTATTTTGCACTTAGTAACTATATCAGTTTTCATGTACAGAACCAAATACACAATGTGCTTGAATACTTCTCACGTAAATGTGAATAACAAAGTGTGAGGCCAGACATACTGCCTCACACGCCTGTACTCACGCATTTGTGAATAAGTTACCCTTTATATATAGAACTAAACAAATAATGTAATTGAAATACTGTGTAACATTCAGTGCCATAATATCCTGATAGCGGGGGTTAATTATTATGACCCGTTGTAAACTCTACTCTGTAATCCTTTTGCACTACCGCTCACAGGAGGAGTGTGGGGTGTACAATAAAGTAGCCGCTGTAAGAGGCAAAATCAAAATCAATCAGATCCGAGAATTCTTTGCCAGGGAATGATAGGTGCGAGTCATTGGTGCCTATACTGTTCTCCCAATTAGGGAAGAAGTGCATTTATATTAAGTCTTGTACATTTTATTTGTAAATATGTGCAAATAGGGTAGATTTCCCGAGGTGTTTCGGTTGGTCCCTTTCACCCAGGATTTCATTCATCAGCTAAGACTGAGAGCTTGTACCTGAAGAGAATTTCATGACGTCTACCCTATTAAAGCTAGTCATAGCAGTATATCACTGTTGTCCAGTTGTGACTATTGGGGTAAGCTTGGGCAAGATGCAGAGAGTTGTGATAGTTGGCACCCCTGTAACTCCATGTTGGTAGCTCTATAAGTTATTGTTTAAAGCCTTGTAGCTCAGTATTGGCAGCTCTGTAAGTCAGTTTTAGCAGCCCAGTAATTCAGTGTTGGCAGCCCAAAAAGCACGTTGTAACTCAGGGATGCCATTAATGTCGGTACTCCCGTAACTAACGCCCCACTGGTGTTGTTAATATTGGGGATGCTCTAACTTATTAAGCCAAAGAGAAATTTTAACTACCTTTAAGAATATATAATTTAGATATACCTAAGATTATTCTTCTGAAAACAGGAAAATGTTTTATGCAACATGTATACGAACTCAGATGTACAGATTTACATAATTTGTGATTATATCCACTTCAAGGACTTATTTGTTCATCCATGCATCAAACACAACTTCAAAAATCTCCACGACACTATTTCTCTTCATGTCAGGTTATGTTCCAGTGGTAGGTTTTTCAGCCCTTACAAATAGTATCGTCGAAATTCCTCAGGTATCGCTAAATATTTATGTTTAGTTTATATCCTCATGGGTACAGGTGGCCGCTTAAATTTGCAAGTTGCTGTATTATCATCATCTTGAGAGTACTGTTCAATTTTATGTTTAAGTCCATCACAGAGGCACACTTAGCTCACATAAGAACATAAGAAAATAAGGAGTCTGCAATAGGCCGGTTGGCCTGTGCATGGCATCTCCTGTCGAGTTACTACCACTTTCTATCATCAATGAATCTATCCAGCCTCTTTTAAAACTTTCCAGCGTTCCAGCACTTACTGCAAAGTTGCTAAGCTTGTTCCACTCGTCCACCACCCTATTTGTGAACCAGTTCCTTCCTATCTCCCTCCTAAACCTAGACTTATCCAACTTAAATCCGTTGCTACGAGTCCTATCCTGCTCGGATATTATAAGATCTTTATCTATATCGCCCTTATTGATTCCCTTCACCCACTTAAACACTTCGATCATATCTCCCAGCACTCTTCGTCTTTTTAGGGAATGCAAGTTTAGTTTATTTAACCTATCTTGATATGGAAGGTTTCTAAGTCCCGGAATCATTTTCGTCATTCTTCGCTGCACCGACTCCAGTTGAATTGATATCCATTCTATAATAAGGGCACCAGAATTGAACGGTATAATCGAGGTGCGGCCTGACTAGCGCAAGATATAGTTGCAATAAGACCTCTGCACTCTTATTACTTGCACTTCTAGATATAAGACCTAATACTCTGTTTGCCTTATTTCGAACATTAACGCACTGTTCTTCCAATATTAAGTACGCTGCACTTGATGGTGTTGAATTTCATTTGCCACTTTTCTGACCACTCATGCAGTTTATTTAAATCCTCCTGTAGTGCATTTGCATCCTTCCCTGAATTAATCTACCGCCCTATTTTGGTGGCATCTGCAAACTTGCTTATGTCACTGATGATCCAAGTATCTAGATCGTTTATGTAGATTATGAACAAGAGTGGGCCCAGTACTGACCCCTGGGGAACCCCACTGGTTACACAGCCCCACTCAGATTTAACACCATCTACGCTGACCCTCTATGTTCTATCGATGAGCCATGATTTTATCCAATTTAAAACTTTCCCCTCGATGCCATGAGCCTTAACTTTTCTCAGAAGCCTCTGATGCGGTACTCTGTCAAACGCTTTGCTAAAGTCTAAGTAAATAACATCGTAATTTTCGTCATTATCTACTACCTCGAAGACTTTCCTAAAAAAACGTCAGCAGATTTGTTAGACAATCATATAAAATTGCCATCACAATCTTGAACGGCTGTACTATTTAAAATATGTCTAATTATATCTCATTAGAGACTATACATCCTTCCCAAGGAAAACTAATATCTCGCTTTTGGTACACAGGCTTGGACGTCGTCCAATAGTGCTGGTGTGTGTGGTTATCAACATCCTGGCTGGCTTCTTGGTTGCTGCCTCGCCCACTGTCGAGGTTTATATTCTCCTTAAGCTCATTGTCTCCGCCACTGACGCCGGGACGTATCTTGGGATCTTCGTGTTTGGTATGTTTGTTTTCCAGATGGTTTCCTGAGGCAGGTGTTGATAGCACGAGTGTCGCATGATCCATATTTTGTGGCTCCTGAGACAGGTGATGAAAGTTCAAGTTTTTGCAAACTCTGTCTGTCCTACTTCCTTGGCCAGACAGTGGTTGACAATAAGAGTGTTACGTAACTAATCTAATATACTATAGGACTAGGCGTGTGTGTGTGTGTGTGTGTGTGTGTGTGTGTGTGTGTCTGTTCTGGGCAGTGGAAACGGCACAATCGTTTTTCATCAAACTTGGTGGAAAGATCGCAAAAAATTCGTAGAGTGGAACAAACTTGGTCCCATATCGATGGTTTCTTTAGGAAGCCATTACATAACCATTTTATTTACGCTGGAAAACGATGCAAGTCTAAGGACTTGGCGCACCATCATTCGCTGTACGCTGTCAGCCCAATATTGCAGTTATCGTACGGCTCCCCCACTTTTTTTCTTAGCCTACTTTTTTTTTAATGTTGTTTGGATTAGTAAATGAAGGAAGATGAGTAAATAGAAGAATAAAGAAGGGGAAACAGAAAATAGTTAGAGATAATAGGTGGAGGGAGCTGAGTTTCATCATGCGTCTGGATGCGCAGTTTCAACGTTACCAGACGACCTTAGAGCTACAGTGTATACTTATTCCTCTGGGTGACTGTACACTCGGAAACCATAATCTCTAGCCCACCTGGGTCGGTAATGGAAGTTAGAACAGTGTCCCTCCTGGACGAGGGCCCACTCTAACTATCACAAGGCAACACTCGCAAGAGCACACACAGTCATAGTACGGCTGTATAGATGACATTATGTATAAATATTGTATATGGTATTTTATACTCTGCATTATCTTCATTATATATGAACAAGAAGAAAAATACCATAGGTTGTAGTTACGAAAGTATGAATGGAAATAAACACTTCCAAACCACCCAATGACTCCACACAATGCGTGTGTGTGTGTGCCAGACCACGATGCTTCCCATCATTCGCATAACTATATGAAAAATCGTGTTTAATTTAACTACATAATTCAAAAACCTTAAATTACATGTGGATCAGTCACTCCTCATTTGACACAATTATAGTTTAATACTTTGACCTTCCCACCTGGGCACATGGAGGCCCACGGTAACTCTCACGAGGCAACATACACACTAACACACAAGTTATGATATGAACTCTTCCAGGCTTCACTATCATTATCATGTTATGTTCATCGTGCTCTGTATCTTGGTAACTAGTCATAGTATCAATACATGACAGTGTTATTAGTATAACATTGTAACTTTTACCCTACAGTTATTGTTGTAAATCATGGACAGGAAGGATACATAAATTATAATATCAAGTGTATGGTTCGCTCAAAGCCACCCCAAGTCAGACAACGCGTCACACAAAGTTACATTGTGTGTGTGTGTGTGTGTGTGTGTGTGTGTTCTGTAACATTAAGCTTCTTCCTTAGTAGGTAGATGTTTCATAAAGAGGTTTCTCCCATTCGTCATTGTGAGCATCATCCCAGAGCACATTGTTTCCATCAAAACCATGGTTCATCCTTATTTCCCTTCTTCCGTGTAACTATATCCATATGGCTAAGTGCTTGCTTTAACATTTCTTTATTTACCAAAATAATGTGGATCAGTTACTCGTTATTTAACACATACATGCACTTAGAGCATCAAGATACTTTTGTAGGCATGACTATTGGTTAATTGAAACCCAAAAAATATTTTTCACATTTATTATGCATAAACATTGTAAACATATCTATGTGATTATTGTATTATATAACATACATTTAATGTCTGGACAGATTCCCAAGAGTTATGCATATTAATGCATAGATTTTGTAAGCATATTTATGCGAAGTGACGTAAAGCCACATAGTAAAATACCTGGACAAATTCCCGAGAGTTAGGAAACGAAGTCTATGTGGCCCCAACGAGGTTACACCAGAGAGCAAACTCTCCCGCCACCCCCCTACAAGGCACCGTCGTGGGCGGAGATTTAATTCTTGATCACAGGTTAATACCGTGTCCAACCTCCATCTGCTGCTATAACTTCATGCAATCTGGTGGGCATGGAATCTACCAGATTGCTGCAGATGTTCGGCCTCCTCCTTATTCCCTCCCACACATTATGTGCGTGTCTCCTCACTGCCTCACTCGTTTTCTCCTCAACATCCCATTCAACAACCATATGCGCCCATATATTTTCTATTGGATTACAATCGGCTCCTTTAGGGGGCCAGTCCAATAGAATAATCTGCTGGTGCGCCTCAAACCAACGCTTGACTGCCTGACTTGTATGTATTGAACTGCAGTCTTGCACCATACTGTACATATAGGCTGTGGGTCTGGGATGGCATATGAGTTGCTGGGAGGATGATTAGGAGTCCTGTTGAACTGGCAGGTAGACAAAACAGAAAACTCACAGCCAAACTGTAAGAAAACTCATGGACAATGATACATTAGTAAAATATACTAGGTCAATTTAGCGCGTGCACACACATTATATACAGATCTATTGGTCCTTGCGAGGCTGTTTGGTTATGCTATGCTAACTAGTTTGCTAGGGTGAGGGAAGTATATATATATATATAGATATATATATAGATATATATATATATATATATATATATATATATATATATATATATATATATATATATATATATATATATTTAACTCTTCTCAACAAATGCAAGAATGTTGCCCCGTGAGATTTACCGTGGGCCACCATGTGCCCAGGTGGGATGGTCAAAGTGTTACAAGATATGTGTGTCAAATGAGGAGTGACTGATCCTCATGTATTTTAAGGTTTTTGAAATATGTAGTTAAATTAAACACGATTTTTCATAAAATTACGCGAATGCTGGGGAATAAAAGATGTAGATGGGGTGTGGTGGAATCATCGTGGTCTGGCCACAAGCGCTGCAAACGACATGTGGATTCACTGGGTGGTTTGGAAGTGTTTATTTCCATTCATACTTTCGTAACTACAACCTATGGTATTTTTTCTTCGTGTTCATATATAATGAAGATAATGCAGAGTATAAAATGCCATATACACTATTTATACATAATATCATCTATACAGCCGTACTATGACTGTGTGTGTTCGTGGGTATGTTGCCTTGTGATAGTTAGAGTGGGTCCCCGTCCAGAAAGGACACTGTACTAACCTCCAGCACCGACCAAGGTGGGCTAGAGAATATGGTGTCCGAGTGTACATGGAAAAAGAGAAGAGATAAAATGATAATAACAGGAATACATGGAGAAGATGACTACAATAGACATAGGGTGAATATAGACAGTGAAACAGACAGGAGGTTGACAAAAATAGACAGATTCACACATGCATAAATAGACAATATGGCAACTAACATGACAAACAGACAGCTGACTGACTGGTTCACATTAGACAAACAGGCAGAGACACGCCAACAACGGATAAGACAGACAGATTTGACGACACAAAGAGTACAGACGGGTTTACATTCAAACACCACGCAGACGAACAGACAGTTGGGATGGCAATAGACAGGACGGATAGATTTGAGACAGATTAGAAGGCATTTATAAACAAGAATAACACCAAATTGACCATAGCTGCATCAGTGAGGGTAGGAGGTCTTACATCCACCAGCTTAAATAATAAGAGGCATTGAAAACTAACACCCTCGAGCGGAAAGAACATCGATGGTCGGTCAGTGAGATGGGCCTAAAACTGACTAACGTACATGATGACTATGATGACTTAACACAGGTGATGACTAAAGCGGATGGTGACTAATCTAACCAGAATCAAGGTCACTTCTCTTCATAACATAATTTATTTCGGAATGATCATTGGTGATTCATAATAATCTTTTTTTTTATAATTTTAACCTCTCCTTATGGCAACTATTTCTTAACTACTTATTCTAACCATTATTCTATTCCTTCTTATAGTATATTCAATACTGTAAGTATCACGACCACGACCATTATTATAACAACCATGACCATTATTATAACAACCAGGACCATGATTATAACAACCAGGACCATGATTATAACCACGACTATGATTATAACAACCACGACCATGATTATAACAACCACGACCATGATTATAACAACCACGACCATGATTATAACAACCACGACTATGATTATCACAATCACGACTATGATTATAACAACCACGACCATGATTATAACAACCACGACTATGAATATAACAACCACGACCATGAATATAACCACAACCATGATTATAACAACCACGACAATGATTATAACCACGACCATGATTATAACAACCACAACTATAATTATAACAACCACGAAAATGATCATAACAACCACGAATATGATTATAACAACCACGACCATGATTATAACAACCACGACAATGAATATAACAGCCACGACCATGATTATAACAACCACGACCATGATTATAACAACCACGAATATGATTATAACAACCACGACTATGATTATAACAAGCACGACCATGAATATAACAACCACGACTACGATCATAACCACGACTATAATTATAATAACCATGACCATGATTATAACAACCACGACCATGATTATAACAACCACGACTATGATTATCACAATCACGATTATGATTATAACAACCACGACTATGATCATAGCCACGACTATGATTATAATAACCACGACCATGATTATAACAACCACGACCATGATTATAACAACCACGACCATGATTATAACAACCACGACTATGAATATAACAACCACGACCATAAATATAACCACAACCATGATTATAACAACCACGACAATGATTATAACCACGACCATGATTATAACAACCACAACTATAATTATAACAACCACGAAAATGATCATAACAACCACGAATATGATTATAACAACCACGACCATGATTATAAAAACCACGACCATGATTATAACAACCACGACAATGAATATAACAGCCACGACCATGATTATAACAA